CGTCAGATGTCTGGGAAGAGCTGTGCTGCATCTTCGGAATACCTCGTCTGTGTCCGCGGTCCGTGTCGAGCGGCCGAGTCCGCGTCGGATCCGCATCGAAACCGCGTCGAACCCACGCCGAATCCACGTCGAATCCGCGTCGAGGCCCCGACGAAATCAAGAGAGCGGCCGTAAGCTTCGGAGCGCACAGAGTGCCCCTTCCGCGGAAAAACGTAGCGAGAGGCCCCCCCTAGAGAAGGGCAGCGGCATCGGCGCCTCTTCCTCCTCCGCCCCCCCCCCGCGCAGGGCCCGTCCTCGGGCGCGAGCTGCAGGCCCCAGCTGCTGGGCGTGTTTTCCACCACCACCACCACCATAAGTTGGAGGGGTGGGTCCTCCTCCTCCTCCTCCTCCTCCTCCTCCTCCTCCTCCTCCTCCTCCTCCTCCTCCTCCTGTTCGACCTCCTCCTCCTCCTCCTCGCCCTCCTCCTCCTTCCCCCCTCCAACTTATGGTGGTGGTGGTGGAAAACAGGCCCGTCACCAGCACCCAGACGTCCGGTGTCTCGACTTTTCAGCACGGGGCCCAAACGGAGAAAAACTCAGAAGCAAAATGACCAACCATCCTGAAGGACGCGTGGGCTGGTAGGCGAAAGCACTCGTGGTTCCTGCCTGCATTCGCATCGAAAAACTCTCGAATGCCAGCACAATTCGGCCGCGTCGGCACCGCCACGCGCTGGACCAAACGTCTCCGCAGGAGGAGGAGGAAGGGGAGGAGGAGGAAGGAGGAAAGGGAGGGCGATAAACCAACAGCATAATGCGAAGCGATGGAAGCATTATGTAGACTTCCGTTGCCCACTGCTGTCTGTGGCGGCGTCGTCGCCTTCAGGCTGCACAATTTTGTGGGAAACCGTCTGGGTTGCATCGGACCTCCTTGACTAAAGAGCCTCCGCTAGTAATCGCAGTTTTAGCGACCTGTCTGGAGGTCAGGACATCCGAGAGTGGCTGAACTGACGCTCTACTCAGGACCTCCTCGTTGCTGATTCTTGACACGTACGAGCATGGGATGCCCATCGTGCGCCTCAGGCTTCTGCAGCAATGGAACGCGTCCAGTCGAGCCTTTCCAGCACGGCGAAGCCACACTGAGTCGAGGGAGTACAATAGCTTGCTCAGGACGCACGCCTCGTAAATCTTCAGCTTGCGCGCCCAGGCTTAAGGACGAATGAAACCACATCTTCCGTAACTTGTTGAATATACCCAGGGCTTCTCCAATGCGCCGGGATAGCTCCAACGACGCCTTACCGTCGCAAGTGATCAGCCCACCGAGGTATACAGCCCCCCTTACCGCACAAATTGGTCCGCCATCCGGTCTCGTCACAATCATGCCTGTCGAAATCTGCATATGTATCGTCTTATCCCGATTGAGTTCCAATCCGTACTTTTTGCCCTCCTCGACGACGGCATTCAGATGAATTGTAAGTTCTCTTGGTGCTGTGATTCAAACAGAGTATCATCGGCATATAGAACATCTCTGGTAACCAGGAAAGCCGGCTCGTCGCGAAGATCAGCGCGCTCGAACACATCGTGCAGAAAAACGCTTTGTACGGCTATGAACAGGTAGGGCGATAGCGGGCATCCTTGGGCAATACCTGCACATTGTCGTCTCTCAGAAGATGAACCCGTGTAATCATGTATCGCGAAATACCGGCTCTCGTAGATCTCCCGTATCATGCTCACCATATCCGCGGGCAGCCAGCAGAAAAACAGATCTCGATGTTTGATGCTCTTTCCTGCTTCTGCCGTTTTGCTTCTCTCGGGCTTTCTCTTGGCTTTTGGCCTTCGGAAGCCCCGACCCTCTCCCCAAGGCAGGGCCAGGTCTGCACCCCGAGCCGCCTCCTGACGGACCCGGGGGGGCCCGGCGAGGGGCCCCCCCCCGGGGGCCGGGGGCGGCCAATTGCGCCTCCCGGTGCGGCTCCTCCGCGGCGCGAGGACGGAGAGCCCAGACTCGAATCGATGAGTCGGATCGGCGATCGGCGAGAATCGAGTCGGCGGAAAAATCGGCAGCCGAGTCGGGAACAGTCGAATCGGTGAATATCGGCAGGCTGTGATGCCTCCAGTGAGAAATCGAAACCAACAACGGAATCCCAAGTCGAACCGAATCGAAGTCGGAAGCCATCGGTATCGAATCGAATCGGGATCGGAGGAGTCGAAACGAGCCCTCGTCCTGGGGGTCCACACCGAAGGGCGGCTCCAGCCGTGGCGACGAGGAGCGGCCTGGAGACCCCACGAGGGCGGCACGAGCCGGAGTTCGAGCCTCGAGCTTCGATACGGGGGCCGAAGTCGGCCAAAAAGTTCGACCCTCGATCCTCGAACCTCGAGCACGTCTGGGAATGCCCCCCACCCCCCTCGGCGCGGTGCCCGTCCTCAGGCGCGAGCTGCCGGCCAGCTCGGCGTAGGCCGCCCCGTTCGCGAAGGTGCCGCCCCCGGGCGCCACGACGGAGACCTCGAGAGTGGGACGCACAAGGACATACTAGCACTATGTGCCCGACTCGCAGGCGTGCGTCCGACCGAGCACACAGCACAATTAGACCGTAGTGTGTCATTTTCCGAGCGGCATGGCCAGAAAGCGCCCGCCACGGAGCTTATACCATGAAATGTCTCGGCGCGCGCGGTGTCCCCATGAGTGGCGACGCACATATTAGTATGTTGGGGTGGCGCAGGGAGAGGGGCGCGCCCGAGGGCGCGAGGTCCCAGAGAGTGGACCGCGGCAAGCAGGGAGTGACCCTGAGACCCTGGCGTCGCAACGACGTCGGACAACCGGGCTCAGGGACAGGTTTTCAAACGCTCTCGCCGTTTCTCAGCGCTTTTCCAGCCTCGCGGTGCCCTCCAGCAGCTGCGCCTCGCCGAGAGCGTTCCTCGGGGATTGACAGAACCCCCGTTAGCAAAACGTGGCTTAGTGAAAACGACCTCGGGCCCAAACCTGGCGGGCGCAAGCCTGGACAATGACAGTCGCGGCGCCCTCTCGAGAACCCAAAACGGACAATTCACGAATCGACGTGTCAGGATGGGGCCTCTGTCCATAGGGGAACAAAAAGTGGCATAAACATGAAAAAAATCTGAGATCCGCGCGGACTTCTCGGATCGGCGCTGGACCCCCCTCCCTGGCGCGCGGAGCGCGCCGGGGGCGGCGCCGGAGGCGCCGTCGGGGGGCCCCAGCGCCGATCCGAGAAATCCGCGCGGACCTCCGAGATTTGATGTTTATGCCACTTTTTGGTTCCCCTGGTTCGCCCCCCGCGCTCCAGGGGTGCGCCCCGAGCGGCCGCCCGAGCGCCGAGCCCAGGCCCGAGAGCCGAGGGGCAGCGCTGGGGCCGGCGGCACGGGCCAGGCCTGGGCCCCACGTGCGGCCCCCAGGTGCGGCCCCCACGCGTAGCCCCCAACGGTGGCCCCCACGTGCGGCCTTGGGTCGGGCATGTCCTCCTGCAGGAGGATCTTCGAGGAAACATGAATCAAACAAAAATGCCCCCAAATAGTCGAATCGAAAAATGGTCCCCGTATTACGTTTGAGTATTTTTGAACATTCCTCCTGTAGAGGGGCACGCCCGACATAAGTGTAGGCCCCATCTGTGGCCCCCATGTGTAACCCCCAAGTGGGCGCGCGAGGGCGCTATCGGTCTGAAGGGCTGGCCAGGCACGTAGGGGAGGCTCGGAGATCTGGGCGTCGCCTGTTTTCTCACACAACGTACGATATTGTCGTGTTTCGGGCCCTAGGACCCTCACGGATCGACAGAGGAGAGATGGGGCCCAGGGCTGCGGTCGTGATGTTTTGCGATGTTGCTACTTGTCGGTCGCCTCTCGCTGCGAGCAAAATCAAAAGAAAACGATGCACGCGCCGCGGCCCCCGTGAGGCACTTTTTGGTCGCAGCGGCGCGGGACCACGCCGCGGTCGGAGGCAGCCGAGGGGCGCCACGGGGCCTGTGTGGGCACAGCCAGAAGCAGGAAAAGGGCGAACGGGGGGAGAGGGAGCCGCGGACATCGGACCACGCTCAGACCGTGCAGGTCTTGCGCGCGTGTGCCGGAGCACAAGCGCACACGGGCAGCAAGCGGAAGTGGTGGGCGGCCGACAGACCAGGACGCGGCAAGTGCACGACATGCCAAGGGCCTCGACTCCGAGAGACCTCCGTGAAGCACGCGGCAAAGGACGGAAAGAACGGTCAAGCCCTGTCGGGGGCGGAGCCGTGCTGCCCTGGCACACCTCCTGCGCCGCCTCCCACGGAGTCCTCCGTGCCCTCCTCACCCTGTGCCTCGTCCTTGCTGTCGCCATCTCTTCCTCGCCCCCGCCACTGTGCACCGGCCAACAGAAATCAAGACGGAAAGTCTGGGGCTGTCTTCGGCCCCTGGGATCCGCGGGGCCCTCCTATACAGTAGGGGCCCGACCACAAGAAACCTTCCACAAGAAACCCAACCCTGAGACCCCAGGACGTCCATGGTTTTTTGGTGTGGGAACGTCACGCTTTCCATAGCCAAACCATCGAAACCCAAGAAACCCAGGGCACCCTGGAGGCGGGCAGGGTGTTTCTTGGCGTGTTTCTCCTCTGTAGGCCGGGGGGGCCGTCAGACAGGTGCTCCTCGGGGCGAGCGGCCGGCCCCATGGGGAGGAGGCCCGGGCCTCCGGGGGCCCACGCCGTAGGGGAGCTGGCCACGAGTGTCGGAGCTCAGGGGAGGCGGCGAGGGGCGGGCGGGAGGAGAGGAACGGCGAGCAGCGAGCCGCGGAGTCCTGGCCGAACAGGCCCGCGGGAGGGGGGGGCAGGGCAGCGCGGTGTGCGCTGGCAGGTCAGAAGCTCTACCTAAGGCACGCCGCGCTCGCACAGGACGAGAGGAAGGGGAGGGGAGGAGGAGGACAGAGGAGAAGCGGGGAGGGACGTCGAGGGGAAGGAAGCAAGGAAGGGAAGGAGGCAAGGAGGAAGGGGCGGGCGGAGAAGGGAAGCGGTTGGCCACGTGGCCGCGAACTGAGCCGAGGCCCGAGATCCAAGCGTCGAAGCGACCTGGCCAAACCGATCCGCTGCCCGAAGCGATCGAACCGAACCAGACCTCGATCTGACCACTTACGGGGTGCGGCCCTGCCCGGATGGCACAGGGGATATCGAACACGACGTCGAGCGAGCTTGACACACTGCAGTGCGCAGCGAGAGTGGCAGCAATGATACACGGCACGGCAGCTGCCCAGACCAGAACATCCACGATTGAGGAGTGTTGGCTGGAACGCAGAATCCCCCGCGGCCCGGCGGACGGCTCCTCCAGAATTAGCTCCTCCACGCGACCAAGAGCAAGAGCATCGCGCTCGGCACCGAGATTCGATTGGCCACGACCCGATCAAGAGCATAGGGGGGCATGGAGGATCATTTCGAGCGATTCGGGCACGCTGGACCAGGAAACGGTAACGGCAAGGCAAGGATGGCAACCGCAGTGGTAGAGGGTGCTACGATAACGGCAGGCACCCAGGCCAGTACATCCACGCCAGAGAGGCTAGTCTGCCATCGGCGTTGCATCTGCTGCAGGGCTTCGTGGCCGATCGAGGCTGGCCAGCCACTGCGGCAGCGGGCGGCGCTCAGAGATGGGGGGGCCTTCGCAGAGCAGCGGCTGAGGGGAAGCCGCCGGCAACGGCGGCCATGGCGACGGCTGGTGGCTGGCGGAGATTGCCGCTGCGGCGGTGGCAGCAGTGGCTGCACCGCCGCACCGACAGCTGCGGCGGTGGCGGCCACGGCATGGGGAAGCAAAAAGATACCGATGCCGATGCCGCTGCTCCCTGGACCCTGGACCCTGGACCTCTCCAAGGGCGCTTTCTGGCCAGGATCTCCTGGCCAACCCAGCCGTGGCGACGAATGACGGGCAGCGGTCTCGGCATCTTTCCCTCCTTGGACGAAGGCAGCCTCGGACCATGCGATGCCTGGATTTGCTATATGAGGGGTCCCCAACCAGAAGTCCCGACGCTTCCCCTGGGGCCGGTTTCGTCCGACGGCCTCGGGGCCTGGCGAGGGCTCCCGGGGGCCGAAAACGGCCAAACCTCCCGTCGTGACTTTTGCACGCCGCAAGCATGTCCAGATTGCTCCCCGGCCTTCGGCTCATAGCTCGGCTCTGCGGCGGCCGTTCGGAGCGATCTGGGCACCCCCGGAACGCTCTCGGCGAGGCGCAGCTGCCGGAGAGCATCCCGAGGCTGGATAACCGCCGCGAACTCACGAACAAATGCGAAAACTTCGGGCCTCGAGCCGCGACGCGACGCGAGCAAGTCTGGGGAACCTACGGCGGCGGACCCAGGCGGCCGCGGAGACAGGCCGACGGCGGCCGCAGCCAGAGTGGCGGGAGCGGCCCCCGAGATCCGACGCTGCCAGCAAGTGGCAGCATTGCGGGAGATCACGAGAGCCGAGGAGGAGGAGGAGGAGGAGGAGGAGGAGGAGGAGGAGGAGGAGGAGGAGGAGGGAGGAGGAGGGAGGAGGAGGGAGGAGGAGGAGCGGGTGAATTCTTCCAACCAGATCTATCCGTGAGGGGCCCTGGGTCCGGAACAAGGCTGGGGGCCGAAAGCGGCCTAAAAACTCCCGTCGCGATTTTGCCCGCGACGCGAGCGTGTCCGGGGAAGCAGCGGCGGCGGACCCAGGCGGACGCGAAGACGGGCCGACGGCGACCGCGGCTGGCGCATGGGTGGAACGGCCCCCGATAGACGACGTTGCCACAAGTTTTTTTCCGTCGGCGGCGAGGCGGGGCAATCCGCTCCAGTGTGGCAGCGATGCAGAGGCACTACAAAGCGAACTGGCCGACATGCAGGCGAGGGGGGAGGAGGAGGACGGGGAGGCCGCGGGGGGGGGGAGGAGGCGAGCACTCAGAGGCGGAAGACTTCCACCATGCGTTGCCACAACCAGGCGTCATCGCGAAAACCGGGCACCCTGGTCCCGCGGGCGGAGCAGGAGTGTGTCCAGCCACCTCTCCTGCCCGCGGCTCCCGATGGTCGACCCCCGATGGACGACGCCGCCGAGCGGCATCGCGACACACGGGCACCCTGGTCGCTCGGGCGGGGCAAGACGGTGTCCATCCGCCCGCTCCTGCCCCCGCGGCTCCCGATGGTCGACCCCCGATGGGCGACGCCGCCGAGCGGCATCGCGAAACACGGGCACCCTGGTCGCTCGGGCGGGGCAAGACGGTGTCCAGCCGCCCGCTCCTGCCCCCGCGGCTCCCGATGGTCGACCCCCGATGGACGACGCCGCCGAGCGGCATCGCGAAACACGGGCACCCTGGTCGCTCGGGCGGGGCAAGACGGTGTCCGTCCGCCCGCTCCTGCCCCCGCGGCTCCCGGGGCCCCCCCTCCCGCCCGGAGGGCGAGCCACGCCCGCGCGAGCCGCGCCCTCGCCACGGCGGCTGGCCGCGGACTGGGCGGGCCGAGGGCGGCCGCGGTCTGATGGGCTCCACGTTCCACCACCACTACCACAGGTAGGCAAGGGAGGAGGAGGAGGAGGAGGAGGAGGAGGAGGAGGAGGAGGAGGAGGAGGAGGAAGAGGACCTCCTCATCCTCCCTTCTTCCCGTCCTACATCTGGTAGCGGTGGTGGAACATCTGCCCATCACGGTTGGCGTGTGGCGGGGGCGGCGGCGCGGCGAGGGGGGCGGCCAGCTTGCGGGTCTGGCCCGCCAGCTCGCCGCCGCAGGCGAAGCGCTCCCCGGGGCGGCTCGCCTGGCAGTCGGGGGGGGGGCAGTCCCAGACGTGCTCGCATCGTTTTGTGGCAGCTTTTGGCTGGCTCCGGTCTTGGAGCGAAAATCAAACCTCGAGCGTCGGCTCTTTCCGCCTTCTTGGGCCTCCAGGGAACTGCTCGTCGCCACGGCCAGGCCCGCCTTGACACTATAGCCAGAACGCACCCGAGAACAAGTCTGGGGATCAATTGCTGACCCCAGACCAAGACATGCTCGCGCCGTGTACAAATCGCGACGGTAGGTTTTCACCGCTCTCGGCCCCCAAGGGTCCTCGCCAGGCCCCAAGATTGTCAGAAAACGATGCGCGGGACGGACAGCCGGTCCCCGGGGACTGGTCCGGAGCTGCGGGGATTCCGTGCTGAACAAAAAACAAGACGTATAGGACGTCTGGGTCCTTTTCCTTCCTCCGCCTTCTCCTCCCCACGTAGTCCTCCGTGTTTGGGGGAGCTGGGGGGGGGGCTGGCTGGCGAAGGCGCCACAGCAGGGCACGCCCCCACGCCCTCTCCTGCTGACCCCCTTCCCCTCCCCTACGCTTGTCCTCCGCCGCCTCCTCCTCGTTTTGGGAAGCTTTGGGTGGGGGTGGACTGGCTGGCGAAGTGCACATCAGAGCACGCCCCTTCAACCTCCAGCTGCCCCTCCCCCCACGCACGCCTGTCCGCCGCCTCCTCCTCCTCCTCCTCCTCCTCCTCCTCCTCCTCGTCTTGTGAGCTTCTGAGGTGTGGGGCCTGGCCGACGAGGGGCAGCAGGGCACGCCCCTGTCCTCCTCCCGATCTTCGATTCCCCTACTCGGCCCCCAATCCTCATCGATCACCAATCATCCCTCCTCCTCCTCCCACCTCGATCATCGATCCTCGACCATCCCTCCCCCTCGATCCTCGATCCTCGACCCTCCCTCCTCCTCCTCGATCCTCGACTTTTCAAAGGGGAGGTAGTGACCCCCCAGTGGTGGGCACGGACTCGATTCGCCAGAGTCTCGGCTCGCCGGGGCTCGGTCCGCTGGGGCTCGGTTCGCCGAGGCTTGGTTCGCTGGGGCTCGGTTCGCCGGGGCTCGGGCCGGGCTCGCCCGACTCGACTCGCCCAGCTCGGTTCGCCGAGGCTCGGTTCGCCGAAGCTCGGCTCGCCCGTCTCGGTTCGCGCCGGAGCTCGTGTCGCCGGAGTCTCGTTTCGCTGGGATCTCGAGTCGCCGGGATCTCGATTCGCTGGGGCTCGTTTCGCCAGGGCTCGTTTGGCCGAAGCTCGTTTCGCCGGAGTCTCGTTTCGCAGGAGTCTCGTTTCGCAGGAGTCTCGTGTCGCTGAGGCTCGTTTCCATGGGGCTCGTTACGCCGAGTCTCTTTTCGCCAGGGCTTGTCTCGCTGGGGCTCGCTTCGCCGGGCACGTGAAGGATCCAGACGCCGTCTGAGACGGGGAGGAGGGGGCGCAGGCGGGCGGACCCTTCAACGGGCGGGTCGGCTCGGGCGGGCGGATCCTGACGGGCGGGTCGGGTCGGGCGGGGTGGACATCAAAGTATGACGCATCATCGAATTGGCACGCGCGAGCCCTAACGGGCGGGTCGGGACGGGCGGACCCTAACGGGCGGGTCGGGTCAGGCGGGCGGACCCTAACGGGCGGGTCGGGTCGGGCGGGCGGGACAGAAGGTAGGGCGCATCATCGAGTCAGCACGCGCAAAACCTTACGACTTGGTTCTTCTTATAAGCACCCTTGGCGTTTATTATTGTTTTCCCGTTTGGGCTCTGGACAAGCTAAAAACTCTAAAACACGCAACGGCTTTTTAGAATGTGTAGCCCCATATTTTCGCGTTGCTAGGCCCGTCGCTGTGGATCATATGTTTTAGATGCTTGTCCTTTATGATCGAAGGGTGGTCTGCCGCCGTTCCCCCCCTAAACCTAACAACAAAACAACAACACAACGACAACAAACATAACAACAACAACCACAACAACACCAACAACAATACCACTCATGTAAACATTGTTCGCTCTTATCTGCTCGCATGCCACTCAACACGTATATCCCAAACCCGCGATACCCACCCTCTTCGTCTTCGATCGTATCCCCTTTGGCCCTTTGGTGTATATTTTCTTACCTGCAACGCGCATGTCGTGCAGCACCCAAGGCAGGGGAAGAGAGGACGGATGGAAGGAAGGGACAAGGTGGAGAGAGGAGAATGGATCACGAGAGAGAGTAACAGGAGGGGGGCTAGGAGCAGAAAACACGTGGCAGAACCAGACGGGCACATCGGGCGGGGATATCCTAACAGGTGGGCCCAGGCAGCCAGATCGAGCAGGCGGGTTGTTGAAGCGTGCGTCCTGCATGAATCGCGAGGAAGCCTTGAGCGACAGCGCGATTCCAAAATAAACCTCGTGAGGAAATCAAGAGTGAGAGCGTGATTCTTGAGTGTCGAGGGCGCGGCGCCTGAATCAATTGCGAGGACGTCCCGAGCGACAGCGCGATTCCTGAGCGTCGAAAGCGCGACGCCTGAATACACTGGAAGGAAGTATCAGACGAGAGCGCGATTCTTGGATAAACTGCAAAGAAGTCACTAGCGAGAACGCGACTCCTCAATCCATTGCAAGAAGTATCAAGCGGGAGCCGCAAATTGTTGTAAACAAGGGTCCAGGGGCACAATTTGAGCAGGAAGATTTTCTCCGGTAAAAACACAGCGAGCCCCGGGAGGGTCACTTCAATTGAAAAACACGAGCGTTACGCGAATGCGTGAATCCTGCATAATTCGCCAGGAGGTCTCGGGCGAGAGCGCGATTAAATTGCAAGGAGGTCCCTAGCGAGAGCGCGGTTCTTCAATCAATTGCGAGGAAGAATCAAGCGGGAACCACTGTTGTTGTAAACCGGGGGCCCGGGGTATAGTTTGAGCAGGAAGACCTTCACGGATAAAAACAAAGTGCGAGCCCCCAGAGGGGCACTGCAATTGAAACAAACACATATGTTACCTGAGGGGGGATCAACAACAATTATTCTTTTGTAGTGAGAATGCAACAACATTACCACCACAATCAACAACAACAACAACAACAACAACAACAACAACAACAATCACAATACCACCAACAACAATAGCAACGACAACAACCACAACATCAACAACAGCATCCACATCACAACACCCAACAGCAACGGCGACGACAACAACAACAACAACAACAACGATAAAAGCAATAACACCAACAACAACAACACCAACAACAACACCAACACCACCAACAACAACAACAACAACAAAAACAACAACAACAACAACAACAACAGCAACTACAACAACAACACCAGCAACAACGGCAACACCAACCATGACAACAACGACAACGGCAACAACAACACCAGCAACAACAACAACAACAACAACAACAACAACAACAACAACAACAGCATCGCTTCAACACTGGGCTCACACCGGCCTCAGACGGGCCCGCAAGCCCGATGGCCCCAGGAGGTGCAATTGGCCATCGGGCCTGGAAGCCCGTCGCCCCAGCCAGCAGCGAAGGCACGAGAAGAACAAACGGAACAATAAGGATGATGATGTAAATTTCGGGAGGACTGCGCGCCGGTAGAAGGAACTTAGGACGTCGCAGACGGCAATGTGAAACAATGCAACCAACTGATCTGGAGACACCCCTAACAAGTACCTAAATACACACAATGAATCGATGTGCTTAGCGTTTGTAATTTACTTGTTGGGACCACAAAAAAACTGGAACAATGATTTCCAATACGCCGAGTTATCAAAAACGGTAGCAAAAACGCCCTGGGCATATTTGATAAGAACCGAGCCTAACGACTGGATCGGGTCGGGCGGGCGGACCCGGTCAGGCGGGTCGGGTCAGGCGGGCGGACCCCAATGGGTGGGTCGGGTGGTGCGGGCGGAGCGGGCGAATCGAGACTCGGGTGAGCTGAGTCTGGGCGAATCGAGCCTCCACCCGACTCCAGCCTCGGGCGAGTCGAGCCAGGCGAATCGAGCCCGGGCGAATCGAGCCGGGCGAATCGGGACTCGGGCGAATCGAGCCCAGGGCGAATCGAGCTGGCCGAATCAAGCCAGGCGAATCGAGACTCGGGAGAACCGAGCTGGCCGAATCAAGCCTGGCGAATCAAGACTCGGGCGAACCGAGCCGGGCGAATCGAGACTCCGAAAACTGAGCCGAGCGAATCGAGCCCGGCGAATCGAGGAGTGAGGCGAATCGAGATTCGGGCGAATCGAGACTCGGGCGAATCGAGCTGGGCGAATCGAGACTCGGGCGAATCGAGCTGGGCGAATCAAGGCCCAATGATGAAGCCCCCCCCCTGTGGCGCCCCCTGAAACCGCACTGACAGGACGGTCGCTGGGCACAACCCGGGGGAGGAGGCAGCAGCAACAGCAGCAACAGCTGCAAAAACGTGGGGAGCACTCGATCATGCCAAGCTCTCTGCAGGCCGAGAGCCCCCAAGAGTCCCGCGATGGGAGTGCGAAGTGAAACATCGAAAAGCCATCGGCTCACGCAGGGACGAAACTGTACGGCCAGGAACTTCTGCTTGGCGTGTCGCGGCGGCGGCCCCTCCGACACGCTATGACCTACAACAACCTGATAGCGTGTCGTTCCGCTCTGTGGGACGGGAGGCCGGGGCACGCCCAGGACGTCGACGCTCGGGGACCAGGATGTGGCTAGCGTGTCGTGCCGAAGCTTTGTGGACCGCGTAACTCGCTGCAGGCCGAGAGCACCCAAGACTCCCGCGAGGTGGGTGCGAAATGTGTGTCCGTCTCGCGGGACGCCCTGGATCATCGAGGATACGAGAACCCCCAAGCCTACAAACACAGTGAAGACGTGGCCTCACTGAGGTCCCTCTCTTGGCATTCAGGCCTGGCCCACTTGATCCTCTTGCCCACATGCCTGTGCGACCAGCAACGGCGGCCCAGGAGCGGGAGCGCGGGCGGCGGGGGGGGGCAGGGGGGCCAGCGGCACACGAGCAGGCGCGCGAGCAAGGCTGCGGGGAGAGGGCAGCGCACCCAGAGAGAGAGGGGGGGCACGGGCGGCACCTCCGATGGCGAGTGTCAGCACCGGAGGCAAACCTTTCACTGCAGGCGGCGCGTCTCACTGAGCAAGCGTTCGCCGAGGGCAAGCGCTTTGGCCGAAGGAAAAATCTTGCAGGACCAAGGAGATCGAAGGCACGACCTTGCCACCGAAGGCCAACACATCTGTTGAAAGCATACTTGGTTGCCTTCATCGTGCTGCATATTCGGGAAGCCTTGTCTGTTCCGTCGCGCCCCTATCCGCGTCGAATCCGTGCCGAACATGTGTCGAATCCGCGCCGAATCCGTGCCAACTCCCCTCCAAATCCGCGTCGAGTCCGCAACGAACCCGCGCCGGGCACACGAATGGACAACGATACTGGGGGGACAGACGAGGCCCCCCCGAAGATGCAACGTGACCCTCGGTGAGCAAGCTGTTGCCTTCAGTGAGCGAGGAGTGCTGGCCTCGGCGATGGGGGGTCTGCTGACCTGGGTCAGTCCAAACCTGGGCCAGTCAGGATCCTGCAGGATCCCGGAAGATCCTGCAGGATCCTGCAGGACCCCGCACCCACGCCCGAGTCGATCCAGCCCTGGCGCTGCTGGATCGTGCAAGATCCGGGGCTCTGACGGATCCCCGCTTGCTCCGACCCCCGTGCCTGGAGCCCTGAGGTGAGCTGCTCCGAGGAGCTGTCCGTCGCCGCCGGGCCGGGCCGCCGCAGCAGGGGGGGGCAGCGGCAGCGGTGGCAGCCCAGGGAGCGGGCGCAGGACGAGGGGGACGGAGCAAGGTCCAGGGAGGGGGCGGCGGCAGCCGCGGCGGGGCCTTCTCGAGGAGCAGCGGAGACGTGCTCGCCTTGACGAGGGGGGGCGGCTCTGGCTCCGTCGCGATGCTCCTGGCGTGGAGCGTCGCCCCGCCGGCCCAGGAAAGACATCCGATGGCTGACAAGGAGCACCTGCCTGCAGGATGGCGGGGAGCGCGCCCTTCAGGAGCGCCATCCGTTGGCCGAGCAAGGCGGTTCCTACGGGCAAGGTCTGGAGGGGGCTGGCCGGGTCCGGAATCCAAGCCCAGCTTCTTGGGCCAGGTCGACAGCCTCATCGGTACCGAAGGGCCTGAGGAGGCAAACAGAGAGACACGGTGGCTCAAGAAGGGTACAAGAGATACAGGTCGCGCACGAAACGGTCCAACCAAGTCCCATGGACAGGTCAAAGACCCAAAGACACCAGAGGCCCCAAGATAGCCACGCGATTGCCCGATGGAGGCAGCCGCAGACAAAAGCATCAAAAAAGGCAGCACCGTTGCTTCGCACGTCTCTTCGGCTCAAGACGGGCCTCGAAGTGCGGGACCAGAAGGGCGCCAAGAAGATCCTCGATGGGATATCCCAGAAGGGCTCAAGAGATCCAAAGGACCCCGAACCCGAGCATTCAACTTACATGATCGGAGGTCAGTGGCGATCATCAGGATGAACCAGAAAATAAGACGATACTGGTGGTTGATGCAGAAGAGTAGCAACGACGTCCCCAACAGCCCAACAGGCCCTCAAGACAGCCTTCGCAAGACTCCAAGACGGCCCAAGATGGCACCAAGACCGACCGTGGCCCCAAGGCGGTTCAGGAGGCCCCAACAGGGCACCAAGAGAGCCTCAGACAGCCCCAAAGTTGCCCGGAGAGAGCCCTAAGATTGCCTCAGGACGCCCCGAGAGCCCCCAGGAGGACAACGAGGAGGACGACAAGCTCAGATAGCTGACTCGTTGGTTGACCGGTTGAGTGGCTGGCTGGCTGGCTGGCTGGCTGGCTGGCTGGCTGTTTGGCTGGTGGGCTGGCTGTTAGGCTAGTCCGCTGGTTGGTCGGCAGGCTGGTTGGCTGGTTGGCTGGTTGGCTGGTTCGATGGATGGTTTGCCAGGTTTCTGGCTGGCTGGCTGACTGGTTGGCTTGCTGGTTGGCTCGCTGGCTGGTTGACTGGCTGATTGGAGGGTTGGTTCGATAGCTGGTCTGCTGGATGACTGGCTAAATCGTAGGCTGGCTGGTGGCTGGTGGCCGATCCGCTGGTTGGTTGGCAGGCTGGTTGACTGACTGGTTGGATGAATTGTTTAGTCGGCTGGTTGGCTCGTTGGCTGGCTGGTTGGCTGGCTGTCTAAATTGTCGGCTGGTTTGCTGGCTGGCTGGTCTGATGGCTGGCTGAGCGGTTGGTTAATTGGCTTGCTGTCCGGCTGGCTGACTGGTCGCCCCCTTGGCTGTCCGATTTGCTGGTTGGCTGCCTGGTAGGTTGGCTAGCCAGTTGACCGGTTTTGATTGACTGGTCAACTGGCTGGTTGGCTGATCGGTTTGATGATTGCTTGGCTTGCTGGCTGACTGGTCGATTGGTTTGCTGTCTGGCCGTTTGGCTAGTTACTTGGCTGGCTGCCTGGTCGGTTGGATGACTGGCTGCTCGGTTGGATTGCTGGCCGGCCGTTTGTTTTGGCTGTCTGGTCGGCTGGCAGGCTAGTTGGCTGGCTGGCTGGTCTGCTGGCAGGATGAATGGTTGGTTCATTGGTCCGTTGGCTTGCTGGCTGGTTTGCTGGCTGACTGGTCCGCCTCTTGGCTGCTCGGTTGACTGGTTGGCTGGCTCGATGGCTGGTTTGTTGATTGCTTGGCTTACTGGCTGGTTGGTTGCTTGGCTGCTTCGCTGTCTGATTGGCTAGATAGCTGGTTCGTTGCCTAACTGACCCGTTGATTGGCAGGCTAGCTGCTTTGCTGGTTTACTGGCTGGCTGATTGGGTGGCAGGCTTGCTGGTTGGCTGGCTTCCTGGTTAGTTGATTGGCTGGAAGGGCGACTGACTTGATCAAAGTCCATGCACAACTTGAAACACTGAGTGGGCGACTCGCCTGGTTGATCAGGCGGTGGCCATCGCGCCACCGATCTCTTGGCCGGCGCTCTTGCTTGTCTGCAGGCTTCATGATCGCCTGACCCATGTGGCCACTGTTATATCTTCCCGCCACGGGCACACATGCAACCTTTTCCACGAAGCAATGCGGCGGCGGCTTGCTACGTGCGATGCCGCGAAAAAACAGAAGCAAGGGTCACGCAGGAATGTTGTAACGCCTTCTGCTGACAGCAACAGCTTGTGGGTGTTCTTCAGAACTAAACGAAGAACGATCATATGAGCAGATGAAGAGCTGGAGAAGAAGCTGAATGCCTGAAAATCTTAAACCACGATGCGGGCGAGCCTTGAACATTCCAGAGCTGGCCCCACGAAAACAATCGCCGCGCTTACAAAGGTACGGCTTGCAAGGGGCCATAGGCACTTAAGAACTTCCTCTTGTCCCATCGATGCCCGCTGACAAAGTTCTCCAGGTCTCTAAGATTCGCAAAGGAGGATGGGGAGGGAGAGAGAGAGAGAGAAAAGGAAGAACAATTGCATAAACATAAGCTTTTGGAGGTCCGCGCGGATTCTTGGATCCGCGCCGGACACCCCCTCCCTTCTGCGCGGAGCGCGCCAGGGGCGGCGCCTGAGGCGCCTCCATGGGGGCCCAACGCCGATCCAAGAAAGCCGCACGGATTACCGAACAGTTCTGCTCTGCAATCTTTCTTCTTCGAGCCAGAGCGGCCGCGCGCGCAGTTGCCGTGGCACGGCGCCGTGAGGCAAGCAGCGCTAGGCTAGACGTACAGGCCTCCGAAGAAATTAGCGAACACCCATGCCGCATCCATCTGTCAATGACCCCCCCCCAAAAAAAAATCAATGTGAGCGGTGGGTCGAATGAGCTGCACTTCCACCGCAGTCTTCCCCGCACGCGCCAGCTGTGAACTCGGGGGAGTGTACACGACTCGTCTCCTCCTGCCGTAGCGCGGGCCGCGTGGCCACCTGGCCGTCTGGGCGCGCGAGGCGTCCACGAACTCGGCGGCGGCCAGGCACGCGGTGCCGCTACAGAGGCTTCTCCTTGGTCGCGGTGCGGGGGGATGTGGGGGGAACGAAAACGCTGACCCTGGCCAAGGCCGAAAGCGGAAACGACGGTGTCGATCTGTGGAACGAAAAAGCTGTGGAAAAAAACCGTGTGCGTGTGTGGAGAAAACAGGCACAGTGTGTGTGTGTGGTGCGTCTGCGTGTGTGTGTGATTATGTGTGTGAGTGTGTGCGTGCGTGCGTGTGTGTGTGTGTGTGTGTTTGTTTGTGTGCGTTTGTGTGTGCGTGCTTGTCTGTATTTGTGTGTGTTTGTGTGTCCTTGTGTATGTGTGTTCCACAGTGTGTGATTTTTCCATCGAGTGTTTTTGTTCCTCAGGGTCATCGTCCATCTTGGCCATCGTCTGTTCGTGCCCCGCACTCGCGAATCGGCGACGGCCGGAATAGACCACGACCAGGATCGGCCGGCGCCCACGAGATCCCGCGGCATCTTGGTCATTGCCATCGTGTTTCTTCCCCCGAGGATCGGCGAAGACAGCAGCCCACACACCTAAGCATCGTATAACCGATCCCTATCCCCACTGGCGCGGCGTTGGCTCCACTGGCCGACCTACCCACCAAGATGGGTCACACAGGATCCAGAGCTGGCCCCCCCCCAAATTCACATGGGATCGAGCCCCCCGCCCCGCTGGATGGGTACGCTCCTGAGCGTCGCGAAGGCCTCGCGAATGGGATCACTCCCCCCCTGTGGTTGTGGCCCCATGGCCGTGGCGTGGTGGAGGGAGATGATGCCACCCCGACTCCTCCTGTGGGCGTGGGGTGGTTCGTCGTCGTCGTCGTCGTCGGCGTCGGCGTCGGCGTCGTCGTCGGCGTCTTCCGTCGGCGTCGGCGTCGGCGTAGACGTAGTCGTCGGCGTCGTTGGCGTCGTCGGCGTCGTCGTCGTCCGTCGGCCTCTTCACTCGCCGTCGGCGTCGTCGTCGGCGTCTTCCGTCGGCGTCTGCGTCCGCGTCGGCGTCGTCGGCGTCGTCGGCGTCGTCGGCGTCGTCGTCGGCGTCGTCGTCGCCCGTCGTCCGTCGGCTGTCGGCGTGTTCCGTCGGCCTCTTCCGTTCACGTCGGCGTCGTCGTCGTCGTCCGTTGGCGCCTTCTGTCGGCGCAGTCCGTCGGCGTCGGCGTCGGCGTCGGCGGCCTCGGCGTCGTCGGCGTCGTCCGTCGGCGTCGGCGTCGGCGTCGGCGTCTTCCGTCGGCGTCGACATCGTCGGCGTCGGCGACGGCGTCAACGTCGTCGTAGGCGTCAGCGTCCGTCGTCCGACGTCCGACGTCCGTCGTCGGGCGCCCATCGGCGTCGTCGTCGTCGTCGGCCGTCGGCCGTCTGCCGTCGGCGTCGGCGTCTCCAGTCGGCGTCATCGGCGTTGTCGTAGTCGCCGGCGTCGTCGGCGTCGTCAGCGACAGCGTCGTCAATCGGCGTCGGCGTCTTCCGTCGGCGCCGGCGTCTGCGTCGGCGTCGTCGTCGTCGTCGTCCGTGGAGGCCGTCCGTCGGCGCCGCTTGTTGGCGTCGGCGTCGGCGTCGTCGCCCGTCGGCGTCGTCGTCGTCGTCGTTGTCGTCGTCGTCGTCGGCGTCGGCGTCGTCGTCGTCGGCGTCGGCATCGTCGTCGTCAGTGGCGGCGTCGGCGGCGGCGTCGACGTCGGCAACGGCGTCGTCGTCGTCGGCGTCGGCCGTCGGCGTCGGCGTCGGCATCGACGTCGCCAGTCGGCGTCATCAGCGTCGTCGTAGTCGTCGGCGTCGACGGCATCGTCGGCGTCGGCGTCGTCCATTGGCGTCATCCGTCGGCGTCGGCATCTTCCGTCGGCGTCGGCCATCGGCGTCGGCGTCATCGACGTCCGTCAGCGCCTTCCGTCGGCGCCGTCGTCGGCGTCGGCTTCGGCGTCGTCGTCGTCAATCGGCGTCGTCGTCGTCGTCGTCGTCCGTCGGCGTCTTCAGTCGGCGTCAGCATCTTCCGTCGACGTTATCGACGGGGACGGCGTCGGCGTTGGCGTCCGCGTCGTCGGCGTCGGCCGGCGTCGGCATCCGTCGTCGTCGGCCGTCGGCCGTCGCCGTCGGCGTCAGCGTTTCAGTCCGCGTCGCCGGCGTCGTCGTCGTCGTTCGGCGTCGTCCGTCGGCGTCTTCCATCGGCGTCGGTGTCGACGTCTTCAGTCGGTGTCGGCGTCTTCCGTCGGCGCCGTGCGTCGGCACCGTCCGTCGGCGTCGGCGTGTGCGTCGGCGACGGCGTCGTCGTCGTCGTCGTGTGCGTCGTCGTCGTCGTCGTCGTCGGCGTCGTGGTCGTCATCGTCAGTCGGCGTCGGCGTCGGCGTCGGCGTCGGCGTGGCGTAGTCGGCATCGTCGTCGGCGTCGGCGTCGGCGTCGGCGTCGGCGTCGGCGTCGGCGTCGGCGTGGCGTAGTCGGCGTCGTCGTCGTCAGGGTCGTCGTCCGTCGTCGGCCGTCGACGTTGGCGTCGGCGTCTTCAGTCGGCGTCATCAGTCGGCGTCTTCAGTCGGCGTCGGCGTCGTCCGCATCGTCGGCGTCGGCGTCGACGTCGGCGCCTTCCGTCGGAGTCGGAGTATTCCGTCCACGTCGGCGTCGGTGTCCGTCGGCAACGTCCATCGGGGCCACCCGTCGTCGTCAGCGTCGTCGTCGGCGTCGGCGTCGGCGTCGTCAGTCGGCGTCGACGTCGGCGTCGGCGTCGTCGGCGTCGGCGCCGTCGTCAGCGTCGGCGTCGGCGTCGGCGTCTTCCGTCGGCGTCGGCGTCAGCGTCGGCGTCGGCGGCGGCGCCGTCGTCGTCGTCGTCGTCGGCGTCGGCGTCGGCGTCGGCGTCGGCCTCGTCGGCGTCTTCCGTCGACGTCGGCGTCTTCCGTCGGCGTCCGCCGTCGCCGTCCATTGGCGTCGGCGCCAGCGTCGGCGTCGTCGGCGTCGTCATCGTTCGTCGGCCGTCGGCGTCGTCCGTTGGCGTCGTCGCCGCCGTCCGTCGGCAACGTCCATCGGCGTCGGCGTCGGTGTCTTCAGTCGGCGTCGGCGTCGGCGTCGGCGTCGTCGTCGTCGTCGTCCGTCGGCGTCGGCGTCGTCGTCGCCCATCGTCCGTAGGGGTCGGCGTCGGAGTCGGCGTCGGCGTCGGCGTCGTCGGCATCGGCGTCGGCGCCGTCGTCGTCGTCGTCATCTTCCATCGGCGTCCTCGTCGTCGTCGTAGGCCGTTGGCGTCGTTATCAGCGTCTTCTGTCGGCGTCGGCGTCTTCCGACGGCGTCGGCGTCGGCGTCAGCGTCGGCGGCAGCGCCGTCGTCGACGTCGTCGGCGTCGCCCGTCGGCGTCTTCCGTCGACGTCGGCGTCGTCCGTCGGCGTCGTCGTCGTCGTCCGCCAGCAACGTCCATCGGCGTCGGCATCGGCGTCGGCGTCGGCGTAGTCGTCGTCGTCGTCGTCGTCGTCGTCGCCGTCGGCGTCAGCGTCGGCGTCGTCGTCGACGTCGATGTCCGTCGTCGTCGTCGTCGTCGTCGGCCGCTGGCGTCGGCATCTTCCGTCGGCGTCGTCGTCGTCAGTCGGCGTCGGCGTCGGCGTCGGCGTCGTCGGGAGCCGTCGGTGTCGTCGTCGTCGTCGTTGTCGTCGTCGTCCGTCGGCAGCTTCAGTCGGCGTCGGCGTCTTCTGTCGACGTCGTCGTCGGGGTCAGCGTCGGCGTCGGCGTCGTCGTCGGCCGTCGGCGTCGGCGCTGTCCGTCGGGGTCGGCGTAGACGTCGGCATCGGCGTCGGCGTCGTCGTCGTCGTCGGCATCATCGTCGTGGTAATCGTCGTCGGCGTGGGCGTCGGCGTCGGCGTCGGCGTCGTCGTCGGCGTCAGCGTCGGCGTCGGCGTCGGCGTCGGCGTCGGTGTCATCGTCGTCGTCGGCGTCGTCGGCCGTCGGCCGTCGGCGTCGACGTCTTCCGTGGGCTTCGGCGTCTTCCGTCGACGTCGGCGTCGGAGTCGGCTTCGTCGTAGTCGACGGCGTCCTCTGCGTCGTCTGCGTCGTCAGGGTCTGCGTCGTCGACGTCCGTCGGCGTCGGCGTCGGCGTCTTCCGTTGGCGTCGGCGTCGGCGTCGGCATGCGTCGTCGTCATTCTCCGTTGGCGCCTTCGGTCGGCGCAGTCCGTCGGCGTCGTCGGCGTCGTCATCGTTGGAGTAGTTGTTGTCGTCCGTCGGTGTCGTCGTCGTCCGTCGGCGTCGGCGTCATCGTCTGCGTCGGCGTCGGCGTCATCGTCGTCGTCGGCGTCGGCGTGGGCGTCGGCGTCGGCGTCGGCGGCGTCGTAGTCGTCGTCGTCGGCCGTCGGCGACGGCGTCGGCGTCTTCAGTCGGCGTCGGCGTCGCCGTAGTCGTCGGCGTCGTCGGCGTCGTCGATGTCCGTCGGCGTCTTCCGTCGGCGTCGGCGACTTCCGTCAGCGTAGGCGTCGGCGTCGGCGTCGTCGTCGCCGTCCGTCGGCGCCGTCCGTCGGCACCGTCCGTCGGCGTCGGCGTCGGCTTCGGCGTCGGCGTCGGCGTCGGCGTCCGTCGGCGCCGTCCGTCGGCGTCGGCGTCGTCGTAGTCGTCGGCGTCGGGGTCGCAGTCGTCAGCGTAGTCGTCGTCCGTCGGCGTCTTCCGTCGGCGTCGGCGTCTTCAGTCGGCGTCGGCGTCGGCATCGTGATCGTCGTCCGTCGGCGTCGGCGTCGTCGGCGTCGTCGGCGTCGGCGTCGACGTCGCCAGTCGGCTCTGGCGTCGGCGTCGGCATCGGCGTCGTCGGCGGCGCCGTCGGCGTCGTCGTGGGGGTCGGCGATGGCGTCGGCGTCGGCATCGGCGTCGTCGGCGTCGTCGTCGGCGTCGTCGTCGTAAGTCGTCGTCGGCGTCGGCGTCGGCGTCGGTGTCGGCGGCGGCGCAGGCGGCGTCGTCGTCGGGGTCGGCGTCGGCGTCGGCGCCGGCGTCGGCTTCGGCGACGGCGTAGTCGTCGTCGGCGTCCGTCAGCGTCGGCGTCGGTTCCGGCGTCTTCAGTCGGCGTCGGCGTCGCCGTAGTCGTCGGCGTCATCGACGTCGTCGGCGTCGTCGTCAGTCGTCGTCGAGGTCGGCGTTGGCGTCTTCCATCGGAGTCGGCGTCGGCGTCGGCATCGTCGTCGTCTGTCGGCGCCGTCCGTCGGCGCCGTCCATCGGCGTCGGCGTCGGCGTCGGCGGCGGCGCCGTCGGCGTCGTCGTCGGAATCGGAGTCGGGGTCGGCGTCGCCGTCGGCGTCGGAATCGGCGACGTTGTCGTCGGCGTCGGCGACCGTCGGCGTCGTCGTCGTCGTCCGTCGGCGTCGTCGTCGTCGTCGTCGCCGGCCGTCGGCCGTCGGCCGTCGTCGTCGGCGTCTTCAGTCGGCGTCGGCGTCGTCGTAGTCGTCGGCGTCGTCGGTGTCGTCGTCGTCCATCGGCGTCTTCCGTCGGCGTCGGCGTCTTCCGTCGGCGTCTTCCGTCGGCGTCGGTGTCGGCGTCGTCGTCCATCGGCGGGGTCCGCCGGCGCCGTCCGTCGGCGTCGGCGTCGGCGTCGTCGGCGTCGGCGTCTGGCGGCGCCGTCCGTCGGCGTCGGCGTCTTCAGTCGGCGTCGGCGTCGTCGGCGTCGTCGTCGTCGGCGTCGTCGTCGTCATCGTCAGTCGGCATGGGCGTCGGCGTCGGCGTCGGCGGCGGCGGCGGCGCCGTCGTCGTCGTCGGCGTCGCCGTCGGCGTCGTAAGTCGTCGTCGGCGTCGGCGTCGGCGTCGGCGTCGGCGTCGGGGTCGGCGTCGGCGTCGGCGTCGGCGTCGGCGTCGGCGTCGGCGTCGGCGTCGTCGTCGTCGGCGTCGGCGTCCGGCGTCCGTCGTCCGTCGTCCGTCGTCCGTCTGCGTCGGCGTCGGCGTCGGCGTCTACTTCCTCCGCCTTCTGCTGGCCTTCCGCCGCCTTCCGCCGAGGAGCAGATGCCAACTCCTTCGATCCTCAGGTGCGAGGCCCTTGCTGGAGGAGCGCCCAGGCAGGTTAGACGATGCTGAACATGACGGACGAACAAAACACACACGAAGAACACACACGCACACACACACACACTCATTTCCCATAAGGAAGTCGAAGGGAGACGAGGAGGCTATGGGTCTGTGTGCTGGTTGTCGGAGCCCAGGGGGGGGGGGCTCCCGTTCTAGCAGGGACCCCCATCCGACAACCACGCACCCATACCTTCCCCCCCCCGTCCCCCCTCTGTGTGTGGGTGTGTGTGTGCTGTTCGCTCGTCAGGGGGCACCTGCTCACAAGCCAGAGCGCCGATGCCAGCCACAGCGGCAGGCCAGCAGCCAGCACGTCCATCACGGCGCGCACCGCCTCCAGGCTCGCCCGGTCGTTTAGGCGTGGGAACGGCTCCGCGGCCAGGGAGGCGTCGCGGATGCCGAGGAAGTCGAGCAGCGGAGGCCAGCCGCTGCGGACGTCGAAGGCCCGGAAGCGCTCATCGAGAGAGGAAAAAGCTGCACAAGGGAGCATTGATCCTCGAGGGTCCGCACGGCCTCCTTGCATCGGCGCTGGACCCCCCCCCAGGCGCGGAGCGCGCCCAGCAGCGCCTCCAGCGGGGGGGAGGGCCCGGCGCAGATCCCAAAGACAGCCGCGCGGGGCTCCGAAAGTTCAATGCTCGTGCCTATTTTTCGTCCTCGAGCTCTCTTGGGAGCTGCGACTCCAGCTCGCGCTGCAGCCGCTTGTGCAGCTGAACCCATCGCCCCCTGGCCGCTTCGGACTCGAAGGCCGGGAATCGCTGCACGACCTCAAACCACGGCACTGGCCTCCAGATGTGCTCTGGGTACACGGGGTACTCAAAATCGAAATCGTACAGGGTCTTGAGAATTCGCTTGTTGAATTCCATGTCGATGAGCCATCTCCAGGGGCGCAAGACGAAGATACCCAGAATGCGATTGATCGTCTCCCAAGCCTCGACCCAAGACTCCTCCGAAGGTCGGACGCTCATCAAGACTTTGGCCGAGGGGCGCCGATTGGCGAAGATCGGGGCGAACAGGTTCATGGGGAAGTCCAAGGTGGCCGTGTACCCTTGAGCTTCTATCTCCGCCAGCATCTGGTCGAGCAGGGCTGTACTTCCAGTGGCTCTGAATTCGTGAGCGGCATCCTCCCACCGGGAAGTGTGCCCAGACTCCAGCATGGACCTCGTGTCGTACACCTTGTGGCCCAGCCGCAATAAAGCTGCCTCCAACGACTTCGTCCCAGTACGCGAAAAGCCTGCGCCGATTAATGTCAACTGCCCAGCGTGTCTTCCTCGTTTGTGGGCAGCATCAAGCCCGAAAAACCCTGATACGAATCGCAAGGCCTCAAGACTCCTGGATGTGGACGAGCCATCACTTTCACCGGCGCAAATACCAAAGCAAACCACTCCTAAACTCCAGAGAAAATTGAAGGCCCACATCCGCGAGACTCTCACGACAACTATCCAATGTCGAAATGTGCTGCTCCTCCTTGAGCTCCAACGGCCACTCGACCCAAAGCAGCTACACAGCTGACTGGCTGACAGAGCGAACAAGTCAACGATCTCACGCCCCACGACAATGCAAAGCGCTTTTGGGACTGTGGCAGGAATCCGTGATATGAACGATCGGTCAAGTCGTTTCGATACTGACTAATCATTGAAAACACCAGGCAGGGTTGGGGCGCTTACCAGGCTCCGTCTGAGGCCATCGTGGATTGCTGTGATGTCCTGTGGGGGATTCTGGAAAACATCTTTGTCCGCTGAAGGCTGTATGGGAGTCCTCGGACTCTTTTGCGCCGTGAGTCCCGCAAAGAGCGTACATGGGTCATTGCAGAAACGAGCAAGGCAGGAGCGTTATCCGCCGACCCCAGCTTGCCAGGGGTGAAAAGCAGTGTGAGATGATTGGCTGTCCCCACCCCCTGTTCCCCCTCCCCCCCTGGGGTCAAAAACACCCGAGACTAAGGGGAGGGTACGTGCTCGTCAACGTACCTCTGGGGCCCTCGGAGCCTCCAACTCCACTCTCCGCGGTGTCCAAGATGCCCAAGATGCCTTCTAAGATGACTCAGGTAGGGCTCCACCTGGAGAGGCTGTCGACAGGGCCCCGAGAGGACTTTAAAGAGGGCGTCAAGACGCATGACGTTATGAAATGAATCCAGTGGAGGCCCGACCATAAGAAACCTTCCACAAGAAACCCAATCCTGGAACCCAAGGACGCCCAATGATGTTTGGCGTGGGAACGTCACGCTTTCCATAGCAAAACCATTGAGACCCAAGAAACCCAGGGCACCCTGGAGGCAAGCAGGGTGTTTCTTGGCATGGGCCTCCACTGTATCGCGTTCTCGCCTGATGAGCTTCTGGAAGCCCAAAGACGGCCTGCGCCCTGCGAGGCCACCCCCCACTGGCCCAAGAGGGCCCGACGAGGCACCAGGAGGACCCGACGACGCCCCAAGAGGGTCCCAAGATTGCCCAAGAGGCCCCCAAGACAGCCAAAAGGGCCGTCAAGAGGGCCGCGAGAGGGTGTCAACAAGGATCCAAGAAAGGCCCAAGAGGGGAAACTCGCGCGGGGGCCAGGGGCCCTACCCCACAAGATGCTTCCCAACAATCCCAACATGCCCCCACAGGCCCAAGAGGCCAAACACGAGGCACCCAATAGCCCCCCAAGAAGGCTCGCAAGATCAGCGGAGCAAGAGGAGGACGAATCAGCAACAACTACACTCAGGCAGCGCGACGGGCAGCGGCAAACAATACATCCAAAATCGGAAGCCAAACATCTTCTTTTCCTCGGAATTGGCGGAATGGCGTAAGCCTCTTGAGTAAATTATGCCTCGAAGGGCCCCCAGGCAAAGACGGCTGCATGCATGATGAGGTGAGTGGGGCTGGAAGGAAACCCGAGGCACCTCCAAGCTGCGCTCATCAGATGAGCGCAGATGACATCTGGGAACCTCCACAGCGTTCGATGCGTCGCTTTCGCGAGGCATTTCCAAAATACTCACGCAAAGCCAGTCGGAAGCTCGATGGAAGGACCTTGTGGAGACGAGCCCTGTCGTGAGAGGGGGCATGAGAACCCAAACTAATCAACATCCCCTTGATTTCCCGATGAATATTGTCCTGGGACCTTGCTTTGATCGCTTCGTTACCCCTTTTTTCTCTCATCGTCCTCCCTCCCTCGGACCTCGGGTCCCGCGGAAGTAAACATGACGCAACGTCTAAAGCCCCTAGACTGTCCAGCGCAGTGGCGGACACCTGGCCCAGAAAAATGTGGTCCGTTCCCTGGGTGCCGCCCGTGCGAGTTGGGGACTTATCCACATTCGCCGCCTGGGGAACCGACTGCATTGGGACCCGGGGGAGCGGCGGGTATGGATATAGTCGGGCCCCCTGCCGAGGTTCCCGAAGATCGATCCCCCGGGCGGCGGTTGCGGATCCGCCGCCCCCCCCCCCCTTTCGGGGCTGCCAGGCTGCGAGGGTGAAGATTGCAGCCCCCTGTTCCAGTGGCAGTCTCCAATGTTACAATCCTGATTTCTGCTTCCTTACTGTTCATTGTTGCTGTCCGCGCGAGGGGTGGGAGCCCCAAGCGGGATTTTTTACCACGCCCTGGGAGGGTTCCCAGAATTCCTCGGGGGGCGTGGGCAAAAAAAACACATGATATTCGCGTCCCCGAGGCCATAATCCCTAACAAATTACTCCATATTCGCGTCCCCAAGGCCATACACTCTCGCAAATTACGCAACACTCGCGTCCCCGAAGCCATAACCCGTGGTCAATTTACCATATTCGCGTCCCCGAAGCCATGAACCCTCGTAACTTCCGCGCTATTCGCGCCCCCGAGACCATAAGCCCAAGTGAATCATTGAATATTCGCGTCCTCGAGGCCATCAACTCTCTGAAGTTATACAAGGTTCGCATCCCCGAGGCTAAACAACATCGTACATACGATATGCCACTTACCAATTGCCCTAGCATGACGTTCCGACATTGTCTCACGACGGCGCCGAGAAAATGTCGCTACCGAGGAACCCCACATACTTAATTTAAACCTTATGTTTTGCTTGAGCTTATAATATATGCGCAATTCTGCGTTCTGAGCCCTCGTCGCGAATGTTCCCCTATGTGTAATCCAACGCCATATTGCTTGAACCCCCATCCCTCTTCCTAGCCTTCTATCCTCCATCGAGGACAGATTCGAGCCAGCCAGCGGCCGCGCTGAGGGACCACCCCCTGCGCACCCCGCCTGGCGTCGAGAAAGCGCCACGCTTGCTATGCCCTGGACGACCGTCGTGTATAGTGGCCGCGGTGAGGGACCACCCCCTGCGCACCCTCTATGATGTCGAGTAAGTGCCACGCCTGCTATGCCCTGGACGACCGTCGTGCATAGCGGCCGCGCTGAGGGACCACCCCCTGCGCACCCCCTATGGTGTCTAGAAAGTGCAACGCCTGCTATGCCCTGGACGACCGTCGTGCATAGCGGCCGCGGTGAGGGACCACCCCCCTGCGCACCCCCTATGGCGTCGAGAAAGTGCCAGGCCTGCTATGCCCTTGACGACCGTCGTGAATAGCGGCCGCGCTGAGGGACCACCCCCTGCGCACCCCCTATGGTGTCGAGAAAATGCCACGCTTGCTATGCCCTTGACGACCGTCGTGCATAGCGGCCGCGCTGAGGGACCACCCCCTGCGCACCCCTATGGTGTCGAGAAAATGCCACGCCTGCTATGCCCTGGACGACCGTCGTGCGTAGCGGCCGCGGTGAGGGACCACCCCCTGCGCACCCTCTATGGTGTCGAGGAAGTGCCACGCCTTTTACGTCCTGGACGACCGTCGTGCATAGCGGCCGCGCTGAGGGACCCCCCCCCTGCGCACCCCCTATGGTGTCGAGAAAATGCCACGCCTGCTATGCCCTGCAAGACCGTCGTGCATAGCGGCCGCGCTGAGGGACCACCCCCTGCGCACCCCCTATGGTGTCGAGAAAATGCCACGCCTGCACGATAGCGGCCGCGGTGAGGGACCACCCCCTGCGCACCGTTGCCTGCTAGACGGCATGAGGGACCACGCCTGTCTGCCATGCCCTGGACGATAGCGGCCGCCTGACCACCCCTGCGCACCCCCTATGGTGTCGAGAAAATGCCACGCCTGCTATGCCCTGGACGACCGTCGTGCATAGCGGCCGCGTGAGGGACCACCCCCTGCGCACCCCCTATGGTGTCGAGAAATGCCACGCCTGCTATGCCCTGGACGACCGTCGTGATAGCGGCCGCGTGAGGGACCACCCCTGCGCACCCCCTATGGTGTCGAGAAATGCCACGCCTGCTATGCCCTGGACGACCGTCGTGCATAGCGGCCGCGCTGAGGGACCACCCCCTGCGCACCCCCTATGGTGTCGAGAAAATGCCACGCCTGCTATGCACTGGACGACCGTCGTGTATAGCGGCCGCGCTGAGGGACCACCCCCTGCGCACCCCCTATGGTGTCGAGAAAATGCCACGCTTGCTATGCCCTGGACGACCGTCGTGCGTAGCGGCCGCGCTGAGGGACCACCCCCTGCGCACCCCCTATGGTGTCGAAAAAATGCCACGCCTGCTATGCCCTGGACGACCGTCGTGCATAGCGGCCGCGCTGAGGGACCACCCCCTGCGCACCCCCAATGGTGTCGAGAAAATGCCACGCCTGCTGTTCCCTGGACGACCGTCGTGCATAGCGGCCGCGCTGAGGGACCCCCCCCTGCGCACCCCCTATGGTGTCGAGAAAATGCCACGCCTGCTATGCCCTGCAAGACCGTCGTGTATAGCGGCCGCGCTGAGGGACCACCCCCTGCGCACCCCCTGTGGTGTCGAGAAGGTACCACGCCTGCTATGCCCTGGAGAACCGTCGTGCGTAGCGGCCGCGCTGAGGGACCACCCCCTGCGCACCCCCTATTGTGTCGAGAGAATGCCACGCCTGCTATGCCCTGGACGACCGTCGTGTATAGCGGCCGCGCTGAGGGACCACCCCCTGCGCACCCCCAATGGTGTCGAGAAAATGCCACGCCTGCTATGCCCTGCTGTGCTGAGCTGAGCTGAGCTGTGCTGTGCTGTGCTGTGCTGAGCTGAGCTGGGCTGAGCTGAGCTGTTCTGAGCCATGCTGAGCAGTGCTGTGCTGTGCTGTGCTGTGCTGCGCTGTGTGAGAAGGGGAAGAGGAGGTGAGGTGAGTGAGCGCGGGTGCGACGAGGCATGGAAGAAAACCAGAACCCCACTAAGCATGTGGGGAATACAACATAGCTCTGGCATACCCAATTCTGATCGAAAGGGGGCCGGCGGCAGGGGGAGAAGCCCTTACGGATAACCCCCAAATCGGAGCCAGGGAGAAGGAACTCTCAGCATTTTCTGGCCCCACCGCAGGCGGCGCGCCCTGCGGAGACCCGGCCAGGACCTTGTCCCCCCGGGCGCTGCGAAGATGGGTGGAGCTGCCGCCTCTTCTGGAACCCTGACGAGCCCGACAGGGCTGCAAGCTCTGGGGCCCACACCGGCGATCTCGCCCCCGCCAGGCGCTGCTAGCAGGCCTGCCGCCGCCCACTGAACCCCATACAGGGAACGCCTGGCTGGGGGGCACGCGACACAGAAGTGCCACCGGGGACCCAAACCAGACGTTGCCTCCCTGGACGTTGCCAAACATGGAACGGTTGGCTCCCCATAACACGCACACACACACACACACACGGATCGGAGACAACGAGGCCGTAGACTTCGATGTCAGTAGCACTAAATGCAAATGCGTCCTCAGCCCTACCCCTCGAGGGTCATGGGGGTCCAGCGCGGCGGCGCGCCCAACGGACATTCGGACCAGACTTCGCCTCTCTGGGCCCTGCCAGGCACAGAGCTGCCACCACTGCCTGAGAGCCTGGGGAGATCGGCAGGATAGCGCACTCTGAGCACGGGTGAAACTTCGCCATCTCGAGAACTGCCAGCAAAGACGTGCCGCCACAATCTTGAAGGTGCCACCGTTTTCTGTCTTCTGGAGGGAGAGCTGGCACATAGGGATCGGAAGAAGGAGCAGTCCTTAACGCCGAAGCAGCCTGCAAACCCAGTGCATTGGAAAGCTTGAGAACTTTTCTTGGAAATGAAGTGCTGTACGCATGGTACTTTCATTATGGTCAAATCATCGGGAAGTGCACACCGGGAGAAAGCATTAAGCAACAAACGCTGGCACATCACTAACACGGGGTGCCTGACTCACTCCGCACTATTAATAGCGAGCGGTAAAATACATTGATAACTACCACCGACAGCACTCGACCAGGCACGTTCGATGAAGAGCAGAGTAGCAAAGGAATATAGTATAACACAGGAGATGAATGGTTGGTGGTGCTGCTGATGCAGCTCCTCCTCCTCCTCCTCCTCCTCCTCCTCCTCCTCCTCCTCCTCCTCCTCCTCTTCGCGGTCCTGGAGCTGACAGCGCGGCACATCTGCTGGTATTCGTATTTCGC